ACCCAGCCTCAAAATGTGTACTGAACGATTTCACAATGGCTGTGTATTTCAGGTTGCAAAATTGCAAACCTGAAAATTGCAAAATTGCAGTGAAGTTTAGTGACAATTCAGGTCTCAGCTGCAGTTCCCCATGTTATCCAGTGTGCTCTGAAATTCCATGCCAGCAAACTATGCCGATCAGGATTTTCTCCACTGTCTCCAGACACAAATGTTTGAGTCTTGCTGCTTATCACTTCTTCCCAATTGCTACCCTTCTCCCAGGGCTTTGCGTGCATTTGAAATCAACACTTAGCTGCTGCAAAATACCATGTACCGTATTTTTCGCTCTATAACACGCAGATTTTTTCTCCTAAAAAGGAAGGGGAAATGTCTGTGCGTGTTATAGAGCGAATGTGTGGTCCCTGGAGCCAAAAAATCAAGCAAAAGTCAAACCGCGAGTCACGGAGAAGGGAAACCTGAAAAGAGGAAGTGGCAGCTTTCCTGCATTCTGCCTCAGGGTCTTACTGCCCACCCTCCTCTGTTTCCTTGCTGTGATTGCTGAAACGGAACAAAGAGCAGGGAAAGCCCCTCCCCTCCAGGCAAGCAGAGTGTAGTTCTTTCTAATTCCTCTCTGTGCTCCGGTGCTGCTGGGGGAGAGGGAGAGAGAGTGGGGGAGGGAGAGGGAGAGGGGGGGAGGGAGAGGGAGAGAGGGGGGGAGGGAGAGAGAGGGGGGAGGGAGGGAGGGGAGAGAGAGAGAGAGAGAGAGAGAGAGAGAGAGAGAGAGATGGCTGGCTTGGGGGGGAACTTTTGCCTTTCTTTCCTCCCACCCCAAATCCCTCTCCAGCATTCTTAGCCAGCTGCTTCTCTGCACACCCCTCTCATGTCCCTTCTTTGTTTTTCCTTCGCTCCCCACTTAAAATGTGGTTACAAAGCATAGATCAACATGGATCCTCAGGATCTTTGCACTGGGTCACCCCAAATTCACCATCAGATCACATAGCATGTCCATGGCTACAGCCTGCACCAAAAAAATCACGCACCCACTGTTGCCTGGGGCTGCAATGGTGCAAAAACGTGGTTAAAAAGCATGGATCCACATGGATCCTCAGGATCTTTGCATTGGGTCACCCCAAATTCACCATCAGATCACATAGCATGTCCATGGCTACAGCCTGCACCAAAAAAATCACGCACCCACTGTTGCCTGGGGCTGCAATGGTGCAAAAATGTGGTTACAAAGCATGGATCCACAGGGATTCTCAGGATCTTTGCATTGGGTCACCCCAAATTCACCATCAGATCACATAGCATGTCCATGGCTACAGCCTGCACCCAAAAAAAGCACGCACCCACTGTTGCCTGGGGCTGCAATGGTGCAAAAATGTGGTTACAAAGCATGGATCCACAGGGATTCTCAGGATCTTTGCATTGGGTCACCCCAAATTCACCATCAGATCACATAGCATGTCCATGGCTACAGCCTGCACCCAAAAAAAGCACGCACCCACTGTTGCCTGGGGCTGCAATGGTGCAAAAATGTGGTTACAAAGCATGGATCCACAGGGATTCTCAGGATTTTTGCATTGGGTCACCCCAAATTCACCATCAGATCACATGTCTGTGGCCACAGCATGAAGCACAAAAATGATACATCCACTGTTTCATTCAGAATGTTTTTTCCCTTGTTTTCCTCCTCTAAAAACGATGTGCGTGTTATGGTCAGGTGCGTGTTATAGAGCGAAAAATACGGTAAATCAAATGTATACATTGACATGAGGGCCAGGGGAAGTAGGCACAATTCTGACCTCTCTTTTTCTTATGCACACACTAGCATCATGGTACACAATATCTTGTATGAGCAGGCCTCTGCCCATGCCTTGCAAATCTAGTGCCCACCAGAGCAGTTCCAATCCTAAAAGTTTCCCCTTGTTCAGTTTAATAGGATTTACTTTGTAGAAGAGTTGAATGGGATTGTAGCCTTCTAACTAGCATTATCCCTATGGTTTTCAGTGAACGTCTGGGGATTTTGTGCATCTCTCCATGCAAGAAAGAAAAATAAAGATGTTTGTGCTGTCTGTACAAACCGCAAGATGTAGTGAAGGCTGCCAAGTTGGGTGGTCAAATCATTTTGTGGAGCCTGTCCATAGCTGCCAGTAATCATGGCTTTATTCTTTCCCCAGTATCAGAAACTCCCTTCCTCTAAATTGTGGGGAAGCTGCAACAACAGTAGGAGAAGCCAATTGCACTCATGCCATGTTTGTGGAATTCCAGGAGCCTGTCAACTGCAGGAAGGAGGAGGCTGGAGTAAATGGACCTTTAGTCTAATCCAGCAGGACTCTTTTTACACTCTCTTGACCATGAGTATTCTTGCATTCACTCAGGAACTGCTGAGTCTCTGCATTCACAAGAGGCTTGCCTCTCGTCTGCAAGCTTCGTGCAACCTAGGTACTTATTTTCACCCAGCAAATGCTAGAGGGCATGCTAGGTTACATCTTGGTCTCTCTGTGGATACCAATTAGCACAATGCGTCCTGCAGCTGAGCTTGTTTCAAGCCTGAAGATTCCTCAAGCACTATTTATTAGCCAGCACTTTATTTAATCAGCCTTCCTAGTTTCTCTGTTACATTTTAATCTTTGAGCAAAATTCTCCCCTCTCTCTCTCTTTTGCCACAGACTCCTTAATCTCATTACTCTTGGATGTCAGACGAGACTAATCACCTCGGCCATGAAATCAAAGACAACTGTTGCAATAGCCAGGAGACGAGTCTTTTCTGGAAATTAATTCTTCCAGCAGACAAGCAAAATGCCATTTTAAGAATGGGAGGTGGGTCTTAATTTTGCTGTGGAAAATCAAGGCATTTTTATGAAGGTGGTGATTAACGTACAAGGTTGCCACCTATTTTAATCCCTGGGCGGGATCCCTGTGCCTTTCACAATGGCACAATATAGGTGGAGCTTCTCCTGATGTGGTGATGCGAAGAAGGGGAAAACTTCAGCTACTGAGGTTGCTTAGCAGCTATTTAAGGCACAAGACAGAGGCTCAGCTATTGATGTGGATCCACTCCAGCCTGGTGCTGGCCCTGGTAAAACTTGAAAAAGTTCTTTGGAATAGGTACAGCCTTTAGCCCTATTGAGGTGCTCAGGCCAATATCTGAGGGCACAAGCTATATAGGGGCCTGCACCAGACCCATCATCCCAGCACACCCCAATCCCATCCCTCACACCTTTAGCACAAAGGGCTGGAGGTAAGTTGTTGTTGTTGTTGTTGTTGTTGTTGTTGTTGTTGTTGTTGTTGTTATTTATTGAATTTATATACCGTCCTATACCTGGGGGTCTCAGGGCAGTTCCCAGAATAAAATCAAGATATAAAACCACAAAATACCTGATAAAAATAAAATGACAACCCAATACACCCCCCCCCACACACACAAAGCACATTTTTAAAGGGCATAGGATATAAATCAAATCAACCAAAGGCCTGGTTAAAAAGGAACGTATTTGCCTGGAGCCTAAAGGTGTATAATGAAGCCACCAGGCAAACTTCCCTGGGGAGAACATTCCACAAACGGGGAGCCACTGCAGAGAAGGCCCATTCTCATCTTGCCACCCTCCGAACCTCTCATGGAGGAGGCACACGAAGGAGGGCCTCAGAAGATGGATCTCAGGGACTGGGTAGGTTCATATGGCAGTCATTGAGTTCTTAGCATCATCCCACAACCCTCACACTGAATGCCCGAACAGAGCTTGTGACAGCATGTGTTGTAAGTGGGTCAATTTTTAATGTCCAGAACAACTATTAAACAGCTCCATCACCACTATTTCCAACTGGGGTGGGTTTTCCCAGTTTCCCACATTTCCTATCTTAGGTTCATTTCTCCACATTTGTTTGCTTTTTTAAAAAGCCTTCACAAGGATACATCATCATTTTACTGCACATTTCTCCATATACACAGCTTTTTGTATGCAATTTTGCCTAATGTACAATTTTTGTAAGCCTTATTTTTTAAAACAACAACACATTTTCAGGTGCTGTTTGTGCCAATATGTGAATTTTTATGCACGCTTTCTCTTAATGTCTGCCTTTTTGTGCCTATAGTTTGCTTGCAGACCTACATAGCAACATTCAGGGAAGTGCAAATTTTAAAGAATATCTGTGGTTGGTTTGCAAATTCTTTCTGGAAATATGAATTGGGTAGTTTTGCATTAAAATGTGAAGCTAACTGAATTTCTCCCTGATCCCTATTCCCAACTGTCATTATCACATTGTCCCCTTAAAAATTCCTTTCATTTCCCCATAGTAGCCTCATGTACTTTGGGTTTTCACACCCACTTCATATAGCTTGTTAAACTACCCACAAGGCTCCTATCCTGCTTTTGGAAATCTGTAGTGGAGGGATTGTTTTGAGCAGGTTGTGCCCTGATCAATTTGCCCTCCCCGCTCACCTTCCATTCTGCTCAATTCACTACTACATCATAGTTGTGCTGTCCTGCAGTGCCCCCTATGCTCGCCGCCCAGTGCAGCAGAACCAGTCATGCTGCCTAAATCCACCTCTGTCTACAGTGTCAAAATGACATTGTATTTATCCTTCTGGACCCTATGCATAATAGGTCCCAAAATCAAAGCCATTAGTCAGCTCCAAGTGTTGTGCTGCTCTAAAGGGCTAGGTTCTCAAACAGTAGGATCGGAAGATAAAAGTGCAATTAACAGAGCCATCATACTATCCAGCAGGCCTAAAAGGTTTCTTGATTTCATAAGATCAACCACCTCCTTCTTTAAGGAACTTGGTTGAGTAGTTTCTGAGTGACTTTTACGTTTTCCAGCGACACATTGATCGAATGGTGAATCAGAACAGACTGCAGGCCAAAGTAGATCATGTTGCAAATTGTTTTGATGGGGCTGTAGTGTTTAGATAGACACACACATCTCCAGTTCTTAGGTAACCCATCATATGCCATTGATAATATATGGACCTCTTTCACAACATCCAATGTATACCTTGCTTCTCCCAAGGTTACGGCATGATGCATTGATTGATAAGCATGAGGTTGCTCAGGTCTGCAGAAGACTAAGGAAATATCTGAATATATTTTATTGAACACATGGAAAGTCCAAAGGGCAGCACTGAACACGTGCTAAACAGTCACTTGCTTTTGTAAACATGGAAACTGTCACCAGAAGCATGACCACATGTTAACTCCAAAGACTGTGCTTCTGTACAGGACTGGCCACAAGCATTTCACACAATGAAATTGACATAATTCAACATGTTTCTAAAGGGAACAAAAGTGCCTTCTACCCCAACCCCAACACCCCATCTTTAAAAGTAATTCAGGCAGCTGTTTTGTTTTGTTTTTCATTTTGCTTACTGTGCAAAATGCCCCCACTCCCCAAAACATTCAGTTTCTGAAGACAAGAAATGAATTTGAAAAATAACACAAATCCACTTGCTTTTGGATTGCTTCAAAGTTCTCCACCATTAGAAGAAAATGGAGTTAAGCAACTTGTTGTACAGATTGACGATAAGGACCTTAAATGTAGACCTCCCTAAAATGGGCAATATCATTTTTCTCCATGATGTACTGAAGAAAATATTTAGATCAAGGTGACAATGAAGAAAATTACTAACATTTAGTAGTCAACCTTAACATGCATGGGCTTACCACTAAAACAATGCATCATCACATATTTCTGGCTCTTTTCTTTGCTGCAATTTGTGCTAATTTCAGGGTGCATTTACAGTGTTAAATCTCAACAACAATTAAGTACTAGCATAATAAGCACTTGGATCTTATTACATCCAACTTCTCAGGATACACTTGTAGGGAGCATCTTGTTAGTTAGGGCTGCATCTTAGACTATGAAAGTTGTCTTTGAAGAATATTCTTCCAAATGTGAATGGATTCTAAATCTCTCTTCTCTCTGGAAGGTTCAGATTAACCCCCTCACACCTTAAAAGCATACATGAGGGGGACTGGTGCAGGCCAGCAGCCGCCTACCCCACTGGTCACATGTTCCCCAACTATGAGACACACAACCCTGTAGTCCCCAAAGTTGCAGGAGTTCCTGTGTGAACCCCCTTGGTATGAGAGATGGGCCAGTGTACCCCATTCATTCAGGCATGGTTCCATGAGTGGGTTCAGCCACTTACTTCAATCATACTGTATCAGCTTCTCTTGAGGAACTTCCACTATCAGTTTCAGGAAGATTGGTGCTTATGTACTTTGCTGCACTTTTTGGTTTACATGTCACCTTCCTTAACAGGTTACTGGTGAGAGACAGAATGATTGCCTCAGAATTTCTTTCTGTTGTAAAACATACCTTTTCAGTTCGAGGTAAGAGGTGGCAAGCAACTGATGGACCCTTGAGAAATATCCCTTTTATAACACAAATATGCACAGTAAACAAATAAATGATAACTATCAACAGTGCAGAAAATGAACCTATTTACTAGGGTGTAAGACCTTGTGGGTTGTATCCACCTAAGTCATACTCATTGAACACAGACTCACTGACATCATTGATATGCAGACCCATTAAAATTAATGGACTTAAGTTGGACAGACTAACTTCTCCTTCGATTTCGGTGGGTCTACTATGAGGATAAGTCAGATACAACCTACTGAACTTAGTGGGACTTCTGAAAAAAACCACATAAGATTACTGTGGGGCAAGCCTACCTTTCTGACAGATGTACAACAGAGCCAGCACCATTGGCTCATGCCAAACAGAACAGAAGATGTGGAGGATGTGCCTTATTTTATTCACTGAACCCAAATTGGAGGGAGTCAAATAGACCAACTCTAGGGAGCATAGGAGCATTCCCTTAGATCTTCTTTTCTGCTCTTCTGCACTAATTTATTCTCTTCTTTGTTAGAGTGGTTGGTAGAGAAGGGGTGGTGCTGTGAACATGGTCTCCCAGCAGCACTCTCACTACTACATACTGGGATAAAGTGATGTAGGGTGGCAGGTGGCGCAGATGCACTGGTGGAGCCAATCCAGTGCTCTTTCTGTTGCACCTGCCTCAACCTCGCTGGTGCCTTGCCCCAACCCCGCTCCATCCCAATACAGGCCTGTGGTGCCACCCCACCCCTTGCCATTTCCTCCTGCATCTGTCTCTTTCACCATCATTGTCTCCCAGCAATTCTTACTCCCCTCTGACTTTCCCTTCACATTGCATTCCCCTTCCTTCAGTCACTGCACACAGAAGAAAGGCATGACCCCAGGTTATAATGGTTTGTTGCCCAATATCTTCCTTAATGTTCAGTGTGGACTGATGACATGCAAGGGCAAAACATAAGAAGGTGAAAACAAGGGGTTGGGGAACCAGCAATTTGTACATGCCCAATAGTCTTTTTTAAAAGGCCAGAAATCAAGACCGGAAGAATCACAAACACATCGGCATCACTGCAAGAAGTTTGGAACACCAACATTTGGTGAGAAATTCAGATGGGGGAAATGTCATGAGCATCCCTACTATAGCCTAGTCTGTATCGCTCCTCTTATTACAGTAAAAAAAATGCTCCCAAGCAAAATGTGGAAGTCTCAGCTAAATAGGCCACTTTTCTTTTAGGGGACAAATAATATCTGCAAGTTAAAAAAATTAATCTTTCTGAGTTAGATTGAGGCCATTGATTGGACAACCAACACACAACATATTTCTCTGAAGCATCGTCAATTCTAATGACCTCAGGAAGGGATCATCTAACCCTGAAATCACTGTGTTGTCTGGTATTTTGATACAAGCAGAGGAGAACATGTTCATTCTCTCATTCACAATCAATATCATAGAGTAGTTGCATAAGAAGGGCTTTGAGTGATTATTTTCCCCAAATTTAAGACTCTTCTTAAGATGTAAAGAGATCAAAATTTCCATTATGTGCACTAATGTTTGTCACCATATATTTCTGCACATGTCTCCTTATTATACATATCCATGTTTCAGAGGTCAAATCTTGGTCAAGCCATTTTCCTCCCAAATGGGTGGATGTTCAGATGAGCCTGCTGGTCGCAAGCTAGTTATAAAACGTTGTTTTGTCCCACTTCCTGTTATATAAAGTCTTTCCATGATTTCTCCTCCTGTTTTCTCTGTAACCTTGCAACTCTGCCCATTGCTACCCTGCACATCCTCTGTAGAACCATCTGAAACCCAACCCAACGCAGCCGAGCCTGCTGCCAGTGGCACAACCGAAACATGAATCTGAAAACCAGAGGATGGAGGGAGGTCAATCAAGGCGATATTTATGTGTGGAACTTCCAGTGACTTTTGCAGCAAGCAGTGAAAAGGAGGAAAGTGTGAAGGCAGGGCAAAACAAGAGGCCAGATGGATTTTAAATTGCACTCAAGAAGCACTGACCTCAGAATAAGAAAACAAATCAACCTCATTAAATCTGAGTGCCAATTTTCTTCTCCTTGTTCAATGTTCATTACAATCCACATTCCTTCTAAAAAAATAACCATAATCTATAAATTTCCCACTGTTCTTGTATCATCAGACTCTGACCACCATATTATCATTTATAAATCCATTAAAATAATGAATGAGATCCAGAGGCTGTGCTGTTTTCAGTAGCTGTGCCCTGCTGATTCGTATGTGCCATCTTTCACTTTAATTTCATTGCTCAAAATCCAGTCCTTCCACACAAGTGCCTGGCACTTCCCACTTCAGCTGTGCATTGATTTCTAAGTAATTGCTACTTTATTATGCCTTTCCCTTAAATTTCTCAACATATTCTGATGCACGTGTCGGCCAACACTAAATTGGATCCCAGATGCTTGGTGTGCTGCAAGCTCATCTAACCATCTGGTCACATGCTGAAGTGCCTGCTGCCCAGCTACTCATAAATATTCTCCAGTTTGGCTTTATGACATGCCCATGTCTCTGGGCAAATTCAGTTGTATGGATTCTCCACCTGCTATGTATTTGGCCGCCGGCCCATTGCTATCCATTGTAAAAAGTTTGCAGGTCTTTGAATTCTCGTGAACAGGGGTAGACCTTTTGGAGGACATGGGGGAGTTGGTTGGGCTCAGTTGCACAGCCGTGGTGTCTTGAACTGTGTGCTCGCTGGTTTCAATTTCAAAAGCTGTGCTCCCAGGTTTGATGAGCCCCATATTGGCCCCCGGTTTGGATTTCCTTGCACCGTGAGCAGGAGGTCTCCGGCTGCAGATGCAGCACGCCCCAAAGAAAGTGAATGCCACAACCAAAAGGATGGGACCGATGACAATGGGAGGGTTGTTGACAGGCAAGAATGTCCCAAAAGCAAACGCTCCCACCAGGGTGATGTTAATGCCTGCGAGCATGATGCACAGTCCACAGGCGCAGCAAAGAGCTGGGGAAGGGAGACCCTGTGGCCTTGTTTTCTTCTTGCTTGGCTTCTGGGACAAAGGAGTGCTGTTCTTGTCACTGAACATGTTAGTATCTCAGGTGGGGCCTTGGATTTCACTGAACAAACATGGTGCCCACTAGATGGTCGATTGCTGCTCCGAAAGCCTGAAAAACAAGAAAAGGCAGAAAGGAGTGGAATAGACATGTTGATTCATTCAGACTTTCTCTTTGCGTGATTTGCAAAGATTCAAACCCCGGTAACAATGTTTAAACCCCATTTGTTTGCCTCTGCAAGTTGCCATTTGCACCACAGGCAGCTCCAGAGGGTGGCAGAGTTGGCCATTTGGTCACAGAGGGCCCAGGGAAATTATAGCATTTACATTGTGAAGATCAGATGCAGCATAAGAGAATTCTCAATTTGCACGTCCTGCCTCTTCTGGGTTAGCTAATTGGCACCATGTCTGAGGACCCACAGAAACCTGGAGCCAGCTCTGGTTTGCACATTGGTAGGAGCCAAGTGCAATTGCCTCAGGGTGAGCAGCCAAGAAAGATCTCCTTCCCTTGCACTGCAGGAGATTGGACTAGATGACCCTTCCGACCCTGTGATCCTTTGATTCCTGCAAGAGTCGACCTGAAACGCAACCACACTTGGAATACTGCATTCAGTTCTGGTTGACACACCTCGGGAAGGTAGTTACAGAGCTGGAAAAGGTTCGGTAGAAGGCAACAAAAACCATCATGAAGCTAAGACAACTCTCCTATGAGGAAACTTCAACGTTTGGTGCTTTTTAGTTCAGAAAAAGGTGAGTAATGCATATCAACTTATGCAAGATGTACAGAGAGGAACATAACATTATGCATAGTGTGAAGAAAATGCAGAGAGACATTGTATTTTATAGGCCCTAATTTGGAGTAGGAACACAGCAGGGAGCAAAGGGTTAAAGTCCTCCTAACCTCCTTGCTATTTTTATCAAGATTAGGGCTCCACACATAAAGACACAGGTGCATAGCTAATGTAACCTGTACAGTAGCTTGATCCTAGCTTGTGATCTTAGAATCTTAGTTCACAATGCCTGATCTGTTATTTATTGTATATCTGCAGTGCCATCTGCCTTTCATCTGCTGGGGAAAGAGGGGAGGGGGAGCATGCAGCAATTTATTGTTTTATGATATTACATTTTTGTATTTTGATATCGCAATTCATTTTTCCTGTTGCTTTTTCTCTCTCTCTTTTGCGAACTGCCCAGAAAACTCATGTTTTGGGTGGCCCAGGCAAACACAGAAAATAAAGAAAAGGAAAAAATACTTACTTTAACTTCCTTTAGCGATAACCCACACACTCTTCATCCTAAGCTTACAGCAGTTCTTGTGTCCCCAATAACTGTCTCAGCTTTTTAAAGCCAGAAGAGGCAGCCTTGAAGCTTCCTGCTTTTTTTCTCATCAGAGAGGCAGTGCAGAATAGTATAAGGACTGTGCATCCTCCCATCCCTTTTCCTGTTCTACAAGGCCATTGATTCTTTAAAGAAAATGCTGCAGCAGTGTGTGTGTGTGTGTGTGTGTGTGTGTGTGTTGAAAAATCATGAGCAAGGCTAATACTGAAGTCTAAGGGAAGAAGAGATGGGATGTTAAAAGCATCAAAGCACCACTGATTTCATTTTCCTGTTTTATAAGAAGTTTCCAGCGTATGTAAGCTTTACATAGTAAATTCTCAAATTAAATTTCTGATAGATTTGTGGGTTAAAGCTATCTTCATGTATTGATTACTGTTGCCAGGCACAGCCCAATTCTCCAAGCAGTGAGAGGTTCTAGGGGGTGCAGGCCTTCCCCAGGTTTCGTCTCCCTGGTATTGGCCTTTTAAACAAAATTGTGTTTGCTTACAACCTATGCAGAGGCAGTGCTTAAACCACTCCAACACATAGCCCAAATCCATGGCTTCCGCATAATAGTTTTCCAGGGAGACTGCCAGCCTGCTCCCAGAAATGTTGCTAGCTTTCCAGAGTACAAAACTCAGCTCTCTGACACGCTCTTACTCAGATCTCATCCACACAGGCAGCATTGTCCCCAGCCAAGGGAGGGGCAAAGGAAGTCTCCTTCTAAAACAGTTTTTGGTTATAACCGAGTCATTCAGGAAGAGAGTCGAAGAGCTAGGGAGCCTCATGTCTGGGGCCCAAATGTGGTCCCCACACTTGGAATGAAGATTTAGAATGAAGAAACAATCATGGGAGAGCCCCAATTTTGTTGTTGCTGCTGAAAATATAGAATCCAGTTGTTACTAGGAGCAGTCTTCAGCTCAAAGGGAAACATTCAGGTTCATTGTGAAGCAGAGCACAGAAGTAAAAAAAAGAAAGGAATCAGATAGTTTATGTACATTAGCAAAGCTGGATATAAATCTTAGCACATTAGGTACACAAAAGTCAAAATAGGTAGCACTACCTAGTGGTTCTTGGAAGAAAAGCAATGACAAACCTAGACAGCATCTTAAAAAGCAGAGACATCACCTTGCCAACAAAGGCCCGTATAGTAAAAGCCATGGTTTTCCCAGTAGTGATGTATGGAAGTGAGAGCTGGACCATAAAGAAGGCTGATCGCCAAAGAATTGATGCTTTTGAATTATGGTGCTGGAGGAGACTCTTGAGAGTCCCATGGACTGCAAGAAGATCAAACGTATCCATTCTTAAGGAAATCAGCCCTGAGTGCTCACTGGAAGGACAGATCCTGAAGCTGAGGCTCCAATACTTTGGCCACCTCATGAGAAGAGAAAACTCCCTGGGAAAAGACCCTGATGCTGGGAAAGATGGAGGGCACAAGGAGAAGGGGACAACAGAGGATGAGATGGTTGGATAGTGTTCTCGAAGCTACCAGCATGAGTTTGACCAAACTGTGGGAGGCAGTGGAAGACAGGAGTGCCTGGGGTGCTCTGGTCCATGGGGTCACGAACCGTCGGACACGACTAAACGACTAAACAACAACAACACCTAGTGGCTGGGTGGTATGTACCACCCCAAAAGTAAAGTCCCGTGTTCACATGGAATAAAATGATTTCCCTTCACTTTAAGTATACCTCTCCTCAGTGGTCAAATCCAATCAATATCCTTACTCAATTCATTTGTGCCATTACTTCCCATTTCTTGTCACTACCATCCAATAAAGCCACTTCATTAAAGAAGCATGATCGATTGATTTGCGTTAGGAAGAACAATGCTATTCTGGAAGACATTATATAGGATACTCAATCAGCAGCATTGATCAGTGATACCTTGAATTATCTTCTTAAGATTCACATTGCTCAAGGTATTTGCATAAAATATAGATACTGGGTCATCTTTTCAACCATACAGAATTATTTGTTTGGTGGGGAGAGGAATTTTCACAGATATCCAAACCATACAAAACCATACATAAAGCTATGTTCATTAGGAACTGGGTCTAACATGTTTGTGAACCTAAGGGCATAGTTCTACAGTTCTATGATTTTATGAAATATGGAGCATGATCTTTCTTGGCAAACATGCCAATCACAGACACAGAAAAACTGAATCTGCACGATCCGTCACAGCAACCTACCCCTACCTGGAAGCACCCACTGTATTTCAGCCTAATCTGCTTCACAGGGTTGTTGTGTAGATAAAGATAGAGTTGAAAGGACCATGCATGCTCAGATCCCTAGGAGAAAGAGCAGCATGAAAAAAAATGGGGTGGGGACCATAACTTGTGTAAGCAGAAGGTCTCACATCCAGTCCTCTGGGGTGCCTAGTTTTCAAGGATCCAGTAGCTGATGGTGTGGATGAGCAAAACTAGAACCTTGGAGAGCAGCCTCCTGTGTTTGGATAATAAGATATCTTTCCACACCTCACATACCTGCATCCAGAACGTCACTCCAGACTCTCAGTGCACAATGGAAAAGATGACCAGTGCCTATTTATTTATGACATCAAATTCAAGTTAGGAGAATTTGCTTGATAACTCCCCCCCCCCAAGTATATGAGATCTAAAGTACTACCTGCCATCAACTCTATGCAAAACAGGATAGAATTTATACTAGCAGCTTGACTGGACCCTAAATAGTCTGTTGTTTTACATATAAAGGTGGGGGCCCTAACCACCCATAAATGTTTATTTGAGTTTAAAATTTCCCAACTGTGAGAATTTAGAATGATGCAAGTAATGCAAAGCTTGGGTGTGAGTAACTGAATTAATAACAAGAAACTGTGGTGAGATGAATAACTGTACTGTTCATCAAGAACAGTACCTACCTACACAAACACAAAATGTTGATGTACTCTGAACTCTTACTAAATGTTTTCTCGAGATGCATGCCAAGTAAAAATTAGCAAAATTAAGAAGTGTGTCTGTCCCTCAGAGCTGTCTCACCTCCCCCTCATACCTTCCTGCATTGGAGAAGCACAAATCTCTCATCTTCAGAAGAATTACCTGCTTCTGTGATGTTTACCTCAAACTCCCTTTGACAGCTGTGAATGGAGTACGTCATTCCACTTGTCAATCCCTTTCCCCACCTAACCTGGACTCTAGTGAGAGAAAAGGGGGTCATTCCTCCAAGTGGCTTAAGATGGCATAAATACATGAGTCTTCCACAGGCAGATTTAAGAGAGTGTGGCTGGTTTGATTGCACTGGGTGCAGAGCCTCAGGGGCACTGCAACTGTGATTTACAATGGAGCATACGAGGCTGAGAGGCACCAAATTTTGGCATCACTAAAATTTGAGACCCCCCAGATCTGTCACTGGACACACACACACCCATCTTAGTGACTGAGCTGGAAAACTGAGGGCCTAAGGCCTTAGTAGCCTCATGGTTAAAACTGTTGTTTATGCTACTTCAAATTTATCTAGCTTCACTGTCTTAAATCAGGCAGAGGGCCTTCTCATTAGTGGCACCCACTCTATGGAACACCCTCCCATCAGATGTCAAGGAAATAAACAACTATCTGACTTTTAGAAGACATCTGAAGGCAGCCCTGTTTAGGGAAGCTTTTAGTGTTCTGTGAGGAGCTGTCCACAGTGGCTAGGGAAACCCAGCCAGATGGGTGGTGGGGTATAAACATTATTATTATTATTATTATTATTATTATTATTATTATTATTATTATTATTATTATTATCAGAGCTGGAGGATTTCTGGCCTGGGGGCTGAATACAGCCTTCTAAG